TCACCACCTCATGCCATACCTACTATGTCATGGGAGGTGACCCACACTGTTCACAGTAGAGGTGAAATTTTTGTGTGTAACACATCATCACAAAGTGTTACTAATTCACGCATCATAATACGGATGGACGACAAAATTGATATATCATGGACTTTTTCTAGCCCGACACAGAAAAATTACTCTAGTTGAGTACGAACTCTCAGAAAAATGGCTCTCACTTCACTTCAAGCTTTGAAAGGAGAGTAATAATCATATATTCGGCAGTTGAATGACCTACTTTAAGCCTAAAGAAATTTAAGGCAATAGGTAGGTAATAGTAACCCATACAGATAGAAACAGCTAAATGATATCAATATTTAGACTGGTAAGTTCTCACTGGTTTCTCCTGTTTCTTCAGAACCAATCTGCTTACAGAAAATCTTGCAAAAAAAACGGCTTCCAAGTTCTAACACTCAGATATCTGCATTTGCACCGCCTTCACACTTTCCCTCTCGGCTTTCCGCATGCACCCACATGCATCCACATGAAGGAAAGAACACTTGGAGGACTTCTCCAATGCCTTATAGCAGCCTAAAGAAGAACACTCACAGATCTAGATCTTCCTGGTAAACTTTGGTGAGATGTATACATATACATACATAATGCTTGTTTAGGACCAAATCGCTTAATTTAGGAAATCATATCACAACCCCTAAACAAATTAGGAACCCAAATATTCCTATAGAATCCTAATTACAGTATACTATTAGTTTCCAACAGTTTCGATCTCCCACTCATTATTAAACACAAAATTCATGCTTAACTATTGGATCAAAATCCAACAAAAAATATAGAAATCCGGATTAGTACTTTGATTTTGTGAGTAAGTATCATCTGTTGGATCATAATCCAATAGTTGGTGAGCATGGATGACCCTCACATGACTATATGAAGAAAAGAAAATAACAAAAAGAAATGAAAATCCGCTGATTCTTCCTTACATAACTTGCAGAATGGAAACTATATTTTGATGAACAGCCATAGTTAGAACTTTAAACTTTGTATTCTAATCCAAAACATTCATGAATGGCATGTACAATCAATCAAGCCAGAGCATCTAAATTATCAAATTCATCCCTTTTTCGGGTTCGCATATAAACTACAGATTTGAAAGCGTACCAAAAATCAAAACCAAAGGCAATCACTAATCCAATGCATCAAATCAAACTAAATCAAATCAAAACTCAGTACAACTCTATTAATATATTTCCAGAAAGGGTTACATTATCCGGCATTCATAGCAGGTTGTACAAATTTTTCTTTCTACAAGTAGTAATTTCCAGGAGGAAGTATTTCAGTTCTTTGGAAATATATTAATCTAAGATAATTAGCCACTTCATTCGAAAAGACTAGATCTGAACAACAAACCCATTTGGCCACCATTAACATTCCCACACAGAAAAGCACATAACAGAAATCGGAACGGTAAAAGAACTTTCATGAAACCTGGTGGAGCAATAGCCTCCGGGTCGTGGCCCACCCGACATTCTTCGCGACCCGATCTACGCGGGACCCCGAATCCGATTCGTCGTGGTACCAACCCACCGATTTCTGAGCTTCCAGAACGATCTTCGACAAACCTGAACCCCATTTCAAAACCCAGAGCAAAAAATTCATACCCAGAAAACGAAAAATCAAAAATCAAAGCGGAAAAAGGAAAGTGAATGTATGTACCTTGTTGAACGGTCTGTTTGTTTTCGCGGATCTCGTGGATGGTGGCTGAGATTTTCCAGTAGAGAGGTCGACCGACGTAGAAGAGGACCAGAAGAACCAGAGCTATGATGAGTATGCGGAAGGTGATCCTTGCTGCGGACGACGCCATTGTCGTTTGCTTGGCAAGTTCTTTGCTTGCTTGGTTTGTTTGTTTCTTTGGTTTTGTTATGTCAGTTGGGCTTTGGCTTTGGTGGGTAAATTAAATAAGATTTTATTTGTTTGTTTGGTGTGTGAGTTTTGGGGGTTCCGAGGATAGTAAAGACTAGGACAAGGTTAAAGTTATTCCGGATTTGGATTGTTATCTGTCGTTTTATGCTAATTTGCCAAGTCATTACAAGATTTCATTTCATGGAAGATTAAAAGTAAGAAATTTCAGTTTTAAGGAATATGAAATCCTTTTTGGATAATAGACTAGAACTTCCAAAGACTTATTATCAAAAATTATATTTTTTCATAAGCCTACTGTTACATGTTAAACAGAAACAAAAATAAAGTTTAATCCTAACATGCCAATATCATCATCAAAATCACAAGAAATTATTGGATACTCCTCATACGAGTATGCAAAGTAAATCGAGTTTTCTTCCAATCCTGGCAATTCTTGAGTGGATAATGACACGAGAAACAGAACTCATACAATGTATATCCGGGTTGAGGAGTTTTCTTTCAAATTTATCCACTCAGGAATTGCCACGATAAGTAGGCATATAATAACTTTCAGAGACTTATTATTAGAAGTTATAAGTATCATAAGCCTACTTGTTACATGTCAAATAGAAAAAAAAAAAACTAAAGTTTGATACCAACATCACCAGGGAGTAGGAAGAATCCAAAGGGCTGGTGCATACCTAGCGTTCGCATGAGCTGCAGTTGTATAATATTGCTTAACACGTTTAGTTTCTAAGCTGAATACTCCTCGAACATGAATATCATTAAAAGAACTACATGAATACTCCTGATATGAGTCTGCGAAGTAAATCGAGTTTTCTTCCAATTCTGGCAATTTGGCCGTGGATAACGACATTGCCGATCCATTACTGTCCACAAATAAAGCACAATCACGCAAAGATTCCACCTTCTCCCACTTTTTGGCAGCAATGTTTAACTTGTAGACATAGAAGAGCTCCGCTCCTCTGCAATGTTGCCCTAAGAACTCCATCTCCACAAGCAAAACCTCACCCATTGACTCCAGCAACCATTTTGTATCACTCGTCATGCAGCTAAGAACATTCCGATCAATATCAATGGAAGCTCGAAATCTCAGGATCTTGGTGGGATGGTTATTATAGGTGTCCCCAAAGTCCCAAACTTCAATTGAGTGGTCTAAGGACAGTGCAAATAAATAATGGCCATTGTTGAGGAGTTGGATATCAGAATAGCCGCCAAAATGATTATGTGAATCCTCTAAGTCAGTCCATGCCCCCGCAGCAGCGTTTTCTTCGCCTCTGCCGTGCTGATAGAATGTTAGCCTTGCCGATCGGGATGTGGCATCGTGAATTACCACGACAAAGTTGTTGTTGCGAGAGGGGTCCGAGGAAAGCACAACTTTTCTGATTGAAGACACACCCTGGCGCAAGGGAGGAACCGTCTTGCTTTTTCTTGATATTGGATTGAAAAGACGGATTCCACGGATTTCGTGGAATAACATTGACCCCACCACCTCCAGCATCACCAGCCACCCATGTGATGAATTACACACCAGCCATCCGTCATGTGATGAACCCGGAAAGGAATCTACGTCCACAGGAAAGCCTTGAGACGCTTTCCAGTCCATCTTGTAATCCTTATTCTCTGCCAGGCTGAAGAAGCATATCACCGTCGCTAGGGGGCTTGGACCACCTACCATGTAATTTGAGGGTGGGGAGCATAAGCCATGGACATTGAGGAGTCAACGCGGCAGTAGAGGTATACCATCTTGCAGCGCGGTTCCAAGAAGAACAGACAGCTTCAAAGCGAAGGATGTCCATGAAATTTGAAGCGAGCTTTTTCACGATCAACCCTAACAGCTCAGGTGGGAGCTCATCAGCCCACTTATGCATAGCAGCGCTTCTATTCTCACCCACTTGTCCTATTTTCCCACCCATTTTATCTTTAAAATTTTAAAGGCAAATTTATCCTATTGTAAAATGACTTTTAAAGAACTTAACTCTAAGTTAACAGTGTTAAGTCAAGAAAATAAAAGTAAAAATAAAAACAGAAAATTAGAATAAATGAATAAAAAAAGCCCAGCAAACAACCCTCAGACTACCCACCCAACCCCGTGACAACCAAACCAACCTCCCCTCCTTACCTCACTGGCAGCTACATCATCAATTGCCATCTAAACCAAATGAGTTGCTCTTGTAAGATTCCCAGTTGTCCTCCTCTCTATTTTTTTTTTTTTTTTTTATAAATCTAAATTAGCGAAAAAGGGCCATGAAGTTTCTGATATTGATGAAGACTACGATGAGCGACTTTGGCAGGCAATGCAGTCGAAGTGTCGTCTCAGATCTGGGCCAATTGATGTAATATTTCTCGTGGGTTTATTTATTCGTGGGTTGATTGAAACGGAGAGAGGAGAAGAATGTTAGATTGGGGTTTGAAGGTGTTGTTCAATACAACTGAAATAATGGTGAAAGAGACACGAGGAGGAGGATGGAGGAGGGGAGGCTTGGCCCGAGGTGGTAGGTATGGGTGGTTCTTGTTTTGATGGAGTGTGCGGTGGGTGGTTGCTGAAACCTTTTTTTTTTTTTAATTTTTTTTTTTTTCGGACTCAATCAATAGTATTAAGTTAGGGTTAAAAATGTTAAGTGAATGGAAGGGTATTTTAGGAATAATGGTGGGTGTAAAGATAGGATTGTGGTTTTTCAAATTTTCATGGCGGGTGGGAAAATAAGACAGGTGGGTGGAAATAGCAGCACTCTTTTTTATGCTCAACCGTTTACACAATGACACGCGTGAGATCATAAGTGATTGTAGCTAGAGTCCCTCACTTTGTATTACTCCACGTTTCCTTTACATGTATTTATATATATTTATAGGCGTCGCTTACAATATAAATCCCATTTGAATTAGGATATACTATAAATTTTGGGTGTTCTTAAACGAACCTTAAAATTAATTGAATAAACCCTAATACCAAACTATTTTTTGAATTACTAATTTACTCTAATATAAAAAGACCAAAAGGTATTTATTCCAAGAAGAACAGACTGGCTTCAAAGCTTCGAAGCTAAACATTTGATTTTATTTAATGAATACATGAGTAAAATCCCTTGAAATCAAATAGGAGTGAGTCGCATGCTGAACATATCAATGCAACTTTACACACTATTTGTTTTTATTGTGAATAACAATAACATTACATATTTTACATTTGTGTATAGCCATTATAGTTTGTAAGGCTTCGACCAAAGAACTATAATTTTTCTGTACTTACTGACTGCAATTTTTTTTATAAATAAAAATGCAGTATAACATTACAAACTGTGTGAAAAACATGAACCATCCTCAATAGTTATAGTAGCCTCTCCTCCGGCGCGCTCTCGGCCTCACCAGGGTGGGTACTTGGTCATCCCCAGGAAATTCCCATCTGGCAATCGTCCCATCCCAAGAAGAGCTGACCAACATCGGATAGAGAGGATGCCAACTACAGTCTCTTACAGGTCCTTCGTGATGGTTGAGTCTCGCAACTTGAGCTCCGGTCACCTTTATAGAACAAACAAAATTACTAGAGATCCAATAATCACAGGTTCCCAAGACAGAATTTTTCAAGAAGGGAACATGTTAGCCTATTACTGAGCTTTGTACTAGTGACAAGCCAACAAGCTGAATTCAGGAGAAATTCTCATGGGAGTGTTATTTTATTAGAGACTGCCAACCATGATTCTTGCTTTGCCACAAGGAACTCATACAAGCATTTACTTTTGTCTTCTTTTTATGGGTTGTACAGATGAATACGAAAAAAGATGATAGCTACCTCATCTCATTACATCAACTATTGAACAGGATGACATGAGAAAACGTTGTGTTGATGATGTGAAACATGAAAGATGAGTTACGTACCAGATCATATATATAGACACAATGATCACTAGATCCAGTGTAGATGTACTTTTGTCCAGTACTGCAATAAGTAGGACACGAAGTTAGGAACATACTCCAAACATACTCCTAAACAACTGTCAACACAGCCAACTGATTATATGACAGATGAAACGGATTCCCTAGAACCAGAAAAACAGCCAATAAGATTGTAGGCTGAATCAATTACTTGACCAACTTCCCTAGATCTATGATCATAATCTGATAAATGAACTTGGTGTTGAACTTTGAAATAAAGCATAATAAAAAACCAAGACCAGGGTTAACTATGAAAGCAGTTAATGGAACATACACCTACTCCAGCAGTTCAATAAGTCATTTGAACTCATAACTCAGTCAATACATCATGAAGAGTAAAGCCTAGCCCATTCAATCTTGGACTTACCACAAGGGTTTTTTTACTTTATTATTATTACTTTTTTGAACTGACCAGATTCAAGCCAATATCACTATCTGCAACTTTGGATTCACATATCTTTGAAGCCAAATTTAAAATTAATACAGAAATGAGAATTACCTATATGCTGGAGAAAAGTAACAGCGAATTAAAGTACGCAGGACTCCATGGCCTCTATATGTAGCCAATGACTGATCATTTGGATGTTTCAAAGTTTTTGCATGAGCTGGGTACTCCATCCATCTGTAATCCCAGTCATGATCTCTAAGCCCTGGGCTGCTGGTTGGAAAATTGAAAATCAGTGGCCACAAAAGTAAATCCATACACTAATATTTAACTGTGGAGGCTCTAGACTTTAGTCATTGACCCAGTATCTCAGTATCTAAATCATAAACCGATTTGACAAGAGTGTTTATTCCACACGCAGACAGGCACAAACAAATTCAAATTAACTTGAGATACATGAACTGCATGTTTTAATATGGTAAAAACACAATAGTGACATTAAGACAAAATGGTTCAACAAAGATCAGAGACATATTCCATGCTATAATAATAGTAGCTGCTGTATTCGAATCTCACAAAGATGGTCCTCTTTTCACCATGCTTTAATATGTTAATCTGATAAAAGTTCGATAAATTCCACCATGCTCTAATCATAGTAACTATTTGCAAATAATCTACCTTTCCACTTCTAATTGTTCCCCAACCTTTTACCATCCCTTCTACAGACAGAAAATATCACGATATAAAGTTCTATTAAGCTGTCAGCACTCAATATGTCTGTTACCATATCATCTTCTTTATATTATTGATATAAAACAATTAATAGCATCATAGGTCAACCTATTGAAGAAAGACTGCCAAAACCATGTCAAAAATCAGATATTAATGTGAGAATATAACAAAATTGGGTCAACTTATCCCATGCTGTTGACAGCAATAAATATTATATTTATATAGCACTGAACAGAAATCCAAAAGTTAACATGAGCAGAAAAGGGAAACAAGTAACACAGACTTACTACATGGCTCTAGAGGACATCTTTCTTATATCCCAGAGTTTGGTAGTCTGGTCCTTCCCATTTGATATTAAGTAACGCCCATCTCCCCGACTATCAAGAAATGTAACACCTTCAAGATGTCCCATGAGGACCCCAGCTGCTTGTCCTTTTGTGATTAAGCAGCGTCTATCCCAAACCTGTACAAGAAAATAAATAGGGCTATAATTCATGGGGACTCATAGCTCCAATGGTAAAGTATCCTCCCTCCCCAGGCCTTAGGCCTCCTTAATCAGAAAATAAAAGGACAAAGGTTCCTTCACTGAAAAACCTTTAATAACAGTATTTAAGATTGACATTCAGTGACAACAAAAGGGAAATGCCAAAATAAAAGAAAATTAAAAACAAGAACCAAACAATGTAGAGATCATGATTTCTACATCTTATACCATATAAAGACCATGGATGAACCCTACCTTACAGAGATTATCGTCACTGCCAGAATATATGAGATGTCCAGTCTCATCCGCAAAGCAAACAGTGTTTACATCAGACTGCAACAAAAGTTAAATAAAATAATCAACTGATACCTGTAAGTTCCATCCAGATAGTCTCTGGAGAAAGGAACTAGAATTGGCAACTATGTGCCTTTAAAAGTAGACGGCAAACTTCTTAGAAACCACCATTAAGGAGTAATTTGATTATATTCGATTTTTTAGAGCCTTTACCGCATGTGCTGGTATTCGGAGGTTAACTTTATTTGCTTGGAGATCATAAACATATATTGAAGCATCACTACTTGCAGCTACAAGCTCTCGCCCATCAGTTGAAAATCTAACTGAGAAAATTCCAAATTCGTCCTCATCACCATCAACAGAAAAATCCAGACCTTCATGAATTTCCTGAACAGAAAAGGTAATCTTTAAATGTAAGAAAGAATAAGTATGAACAAGAAAGTGATTCTATGAAGCGCACCATCATAACAGAAAATCACCTGATTATTAAAATTGAATAAGTAATTATCCAAAAAATAAAATGTACACTTCAAAATGTACAAAAACAGGTTATAATGAGATAAACCCAAGCATTATAGTGGGGAGTTGTAACATCTTGCAAAATCACCAATATGCCAACAGATTATCCAGGAAAAACAATAATTTTGAAATGAAGTCAACAAAACATCCCTAGCTAACCTCGGATATCATAGCTAGGAAGTAATATCTACCAGCTTTCATGATCTGGTAACATTAATAAACATTCCTACTTTACAAGATGGAGACAACGATTCAAACAACAGATCTGTAAAAGGCCCAGGAACATTATGGACCACACCAGATCTGTAAACAAACCAATTAAAATAGCATCTACAAGATATTCTGTATTAAATTCAAAGCTAGTAGCACTAGTGTCACATACCGTAACATTTGCAACTGACCCTGTCATAGAAGATCCAACATTGACAATATTGACAATGGGTGTCATGCTAGCATAAACCTGCAATTTTACATTCAAATTAATCGTGACTAATAATAATTCTGGAATGATGATCATAATTGTCAGGAAAACGAAAACAAGCCATATATTCAATAAATCTTGATGACATTATCTTTATCATCCCAGACACATCTAAACCTATTCTATAGAGAGGAGAAAGAACTACATATACACAAGCTAAGGAATTTGCACGAAGTGTAACCAAATGTATAGAAAAGTTTGCATGATGATTGAGAGCACATATACAGAAGTCTACAATTTAAAAGTCTTAGTTATATACAGAAGGCCCATTTGATTCAATAAAGCATCAATAACTCACAAGATAACGTTGATCTGGCGATAGAGATGTATCAGTAATTGTCCATCTCAAGCTTTTGGTTAGGATGTCCTTCTGAACTTTCCATCCTTTATCAACATTATACATTCTAATATGGCCTCCCTGTTTCATTAAAAGAAGAAAGTTAGGACTCTGTATCTGCATGAATGCATAGTGGGGAAATTGATTTTTTTTAAGCACAAGAATAAATGAGTTATATCATTAAGCCCATAAACCCCAATACCTGAAATCCAGCAACAAAAAACAAACCATCATTTGAAAATTGAGAAACATAAGCAGGACTTGTTGACTGGTCCACCCCCCAAGGACCATTGATGGGCAGATACCGGCTCAAAACATGGCAACCGTCAGCAGACGAGAATCTCCCGCGTCCCGAATGATTACTTTCACGACCAACCAACATTTTCATTGTTGAAACCAGTAACCTCGACTTTCCAGGCATGTCCTGGCTCAGAAGCTGATGGGGTCTTGATCTATGCTTAGTGAGTTGAGCAATTTCATGATCAAAATCATTTGATACTTCATTGGGTCCTATACTTGAACCAGAACCTTCAGCAGTATTTCCACTATCACAAGCGCTAGTATCTTTTCCAAACCTCGTTCTGTAACTCATTTTGTAATTTTTCCCAATACCCACTACTCAATGGGCCATCATATTAATGTAATTTAGTTCCAACAGTAGTGACCCTGCACATAATTAATGTATAATTCAGAGTTGAGACCAAAAAAATCCCTAACTTTAAACGTGAAAAATCTTCCTATTCACAGTTCTCGCACACACAAACAGTCAAGCGCAGCTCAACCAAGCTCAGTAAAACCCACTTCCAATTCCTCAGAAACCAAACAATACTCAAACAAAAGATTCTAACTTTGAATTCCCATTTAACATTTGTCGGCAGAGGCAAACAAAACAAAGCGTTGAAAGATAATCAGAGAGCTACTTACTTACCTTGGCGAATCGAATTTTGATCCCTAGAAATTGGGAGAGAGAGGAGGCGATGTGTGAATTGGGACTGAGCGAGATCGTTGATGAACCGCCATGAATGGGTTTTGGGTCGAAGGAGAGGTCGTTAAGGTGGAGCTATACGTGTTTGAATGCAAAGCAGGGCATGGTCATGGTGAAACAGATGATGGTCTAAAGTCTTCGACTCGTGGACCATCCAAAATGAAACAAATCGGATTTTGTTTTGTGTTTTTTTTTCCCAACAAATATCAAACCCTCTGCAAGGCTGTCTTGGTCAATAATATGTATAATAGCCGAATTTTCATCGTATACTTTTATCGGATGATACACATGCATATTTTATACAAGTTTGTTTGTTTTAGACATTTCTTATTGAGATGGACGATAATATACTAAATTTACACATATTAGATGAATGTTAAGACTCGAACCTAGAACCTTGCCTAGATGAGTAATTACTCCAAACCACTATACTAGTGGGTTTTGCATTTTATACAAGTTAAGTACAAATGAGATACAAAGAATCCATTTCCGTCTTGCATTCTATATCGGGAAGAATGTTACCATTAATCAATGATTCATGTATGTGCGAGTATTATGATCCATTATACCATATCAAATTATCAATTGTATCGTGAGTCCTCTCCTTCAATATCAATTGCAAATTTCTCTGAAAATGAACGGTTAGGATCCATACTCATCAACGGCTGAGAATCAATCACTTACAATTATCCATGTACTTGTGTTGTGAGTGATCTGAACTGTTATACCGTATGAATCACATCTTGGTTCCTCCTCCCACAGTTTTCCATCTAGGAGAATGTTACCGTCAATCATATTTTTGTGCACCAATCGATTGATATCATACTTTGCCTAAAACTTGGAGAGGTCAAAACCAGGGCATAACTCGTTTGTTTGAGTATAGTTTGCATACAACCTTGCTTTCCACAGTTTTCTATCCAAAAACGAATACAAGCATTTCTTTTTCTATATCGCATTCTATATTTTGAGAGTTCAAAACTCAAAGAATTATACACACAATGAGATATTTGTGTTGCATTTGTAACTTCTTGTATTTCTCTGACATTAAAAAAAAACTCCTAGAGGTTGTTAGTTCATATACTTTGTCTTCTGTCTGGATTGAGGCTTGCCTGAATTTCTTCTAGTGTTTTTCCTTTGGTCTCTGGGACTATCTTGGCCACAAATAGAATGGTCAACAAACAGACTGCAGAGTATAGGAAGTAAGTTCCTGTAAAATAATTCAAATAAATAAATTTGAATCAGACTTCAGCTGTGAAACAATACAAAACCATTTCTCAGTATCAAGCAATGTGTTTGGTTCAAGGAGTTTTACTTACCTGGGGAACTCCATCTCATCAGAAAGTTGTAAGTATAGGAAACTATCCAAGCACCTGACCAGTTTACAAGCACCACCAAGCTCCCACCAACTCCCTTGATATCAATTGGGAAAATCTGCAAAGAGAAACCATATTACATATATAAAATATATATGTATTTTGATCCATAAAGTATTCTGCAGCGCTGCCGTCTCTTTGGTTCAACATTCCTCAAATATGAATAGCTTTGAGGAACTGATAAGTTTTCCACAGTTTACCTCAGACATTATTACCCAAGGGCCTGCTCCCATCCCGATGGAGAAAAACGCAACGTAAATCTGATTTCACATGTACCAAATGTAACCCAAGTAAAATGAGAAGATGTAGTGAAGAAGTTTGATGATACTTTCCAAAGTTTGAAGATGTAATGATTAACTTACCAGCACACCAGACACAGCTATTATCGGTACCCAATCGAGCAGCAAACCTTGTCCCTGATTTACAAAAGATGTTAAATTACAAACTTAAGTTAAGACCATGATCAAACAGGGAAAAGACAGAAGATTTTTGTTATAGAATGTAGTTTTGGACTTTTGATACCTTGAGAGAGAAGGAAGTTCCTGCCAGCATACAGCCTACGAACATCCCAGCTGCTGAAACCTTCATGACATAAAAACAAACACCTATAATGAAAGGCTTACCCTATAAAAATGTCCTTTTAGAAAAAGGTCAGGGTTTCTAGATCAATGGATACCATTACAAGAACTCTCCTTCCTGTCTTATCCATAAGCAATGCTCCTACTAGAGTTATTGGGACCTGTCAATGAATTTTACATGAGCTAAGTTTAGATGGACAAACTCAAACATGAACAGGAGAAAGTGATTTACCTGAAGACATGCATAAGCTATGGTTCCAATTTTGCTTGAAACTCCTGCAATTGGCATTACAGAAATAGAGTAAGTTTCACAGGAAAGACTTACATAAAAAACCAAGAGAAATGTAGTATAAGGAAAGCCCGGATTATTACCAGCTGATTCGAAGGTTTCGCTTGCATAGAATTGTACACCATTAATACCCGCAAATTGTTGAAATACCATTAGTCCAACCCCAATCTAAAACCATGACCATGTTCAGGAGATTTCAGTATAAAAAAAAGAAGTTATTTGATTAGCATCATTAGAGAAAATATGGAAACATACAGATGAAAGTTGCTTACAATCACTGCACGGATGTTTCTGCTTTGAAACAAATCCAAGATTGAGGCTTTTGGAAGACTATTTAGAGTAGCAATATATTCCTGTCATCAAATAGACAGGGTCACTTTGTTCGAAATCTTCATTTTCAATGTTAAAATGGTGATTATTAGATTAATATTTTTCGGGTTGACAGGAAGTACTTGAATTTCGGTCATTTCATTGGATATATCAGCATTATTTCCACGGAGTGTCTGTAGAGCAACTTCAAATTCTTTGTCACGGCCAACCTTTGCCTGAAAACAACGCTTTTAGCCTTACACATCTTTTTCTCCATTTTGGTGGGAACATGAAAAACAAAAGGTAAAAGAAAGCTAATCTGATTTGAATTCTCACCAGCCATCTAGGAGACTCAGGTACAAAGCATACACCCAAAAGCAAGATAAGGCAAGGTACAGTTGCTTCAGATTGAAACCAAACAATCAGTCCCTTCAAAATTTTCAGTTCCTTCCGAAGGAAACTTAGTCGAACCACGTTTTGTAATTAAGGATAGCAAGATACCCTATGGAATAAGAATTTACCTATTAGAGCTAGTGATCTCCAGTTTATAATTGTTCCTACTATGAATGCAAATGATCCTCCAGTAACAATGAAAAGCTGCAGAACAAGCATAGAAAAAGGAGTACAGTACAGTTATGTCTTAATGATCATCATATATTTTTCAAGCAGGTATGCACTCGATTCTAAATTCTCCTACCTGATTTAATGTTGCAAGCCCTCCGCGGAGATTCTTAGGAGCTATTTCTGCTATAAATACTGGGACCTGTTCATCCACTTTGCTAATTTTGGTTAAAACTTGGGTATATCATCATCAAATAGATTAAACAGCCTTGCTCAGCTATTGAAAAGAAATGGCTTGAGATATATCATATATATATACCACATAAGAGAAAGCTGCAATTCCATATCCTGTGAGAAACCTTCCTGTGTCAAGTGACAGAGCTCCCTGCATAAGAGTCATAACAAATACCGTCATTAATATGAACCTGTTCAATTACATTTAACAACTAAAAACTGTGCAAACAGCATATACCTGAGAGAAATAGATGGCTAGCCATGCTACAATGCAAATCACAGAGGACACTCTCATCGCCTGCCACCAATAAAATTTCAAGAAGCTTAGTGCAATGGAGATTGCTAAGCTTCAGTTTTTTCTTTTTTCTTTTACACCAGAAAGTCACATTTACCATACCCCTTTTCGGCCGAGAAAATCTGCAATCTTACCACTTGTTATAGCACCCAGCACTGCACCAATTGATAGTATAGACCCAAACATTGAATACTGCCAAAACACTGAAAATTACTAATAATTCCCTTTACCATTAAGGCATGTCTAAAACCAGCAAAGAGAACAACAATGCAAACCTCCGCTAGAGAGAGATTAAGATCTTTCCTGATAGCAGATTGAGTTGGTGCTGAATATCCAACCTGCCAAAAGAACAACTTTAAGCTAAACAACCAACCCTTTTTTCGGTTTTAGCCCCCCTAATCAGAAGAAAACGCAGAAAAGCCTATTCTTTATATAATCTACTCTCAGTCTTTGACTAAAAACACAATGTTCATAGAGAATTTCAAGAGAACTTACGCATATTCCGAATTGGAAAGAGCCACAAACAGCAACACCTGTGCTAAGCAAAACCATCCCAATGGATTCATTTTGAAATTCTTTCCCACTGCCATCATCTTCATGAGCAACAACTTTCTGCCGCCTAATGAAAGGCTGTTCCAACTCCTCTTGGTTACTACTAGTTCCACGTTCAACATCTTTGCCCTGCTCCATTGCCAATATACGTTTCTCTCTCAGTACTCTAACAAAGTAATGTATGGTGTATAATAATCAATGCCATAAGTATACATCAACTGCCACATCAAATGCGACCTGAAAATGTGATTTCTTAGCATTTATCCTCTAAAATTTCAATTCAAACAAGAAGTATGAAATCTTCCTGAGGTCTATTTTAATCAACAACAGTGTCTACTCACACATATCATGAGAAGGTTATTTAGATTTCAGGGCCTACATAAGATGTTTTCCAGACTAAAACATGAATGGTTTCTAAAATCAAATTTAGATCCTTCATTTAACACACCATGACGCACATCTACTAATTATTAAAGTAATAATTTTTAACCACAAAAAAAAAAGATTTTTTCATCGAACATATGTTCACTTTCTTGTTTACTTTTTTGAATAATCCTTGTCTAGTTATTATTCAAACAAGTTAATGTTTGTGGCATAAACTTAACAGGAACTAAGGGGCAACAGAAAGAGATCAAACAAATTGTCAGCAGAGGTTGAAGAAATTAAGCAAACCTCCTTTCCCATTCTCTTTTTATGGTCAAACTCCTTCCCCATCATGAGCCCACACAATCCTCACAACCCTCAATGTGTGTTATGAACTTATGATTGATTGATTGATTGAGAATGCTGGTTTTGAGTCCCTGTTCAAGTACAAGTGCTGAGTTCTGTTATTTGAGGTTGGGTATGACACAAAGTATCATTGTAAAGTGACCTCCTTTGGATCAATGAAATTAAATTGAAAAAAATGTCTGCGCTTTGGTATTTATGTATAAGTAGGACACTAGTGTTTTTTTTGGAACTTTTGTGGGTTGTTGTGATTTTGGTTG